ATCTTGATATTTTATTTTTAAAAATGTATAATTGATATTGTGTAATAGGAAGTAAAGGTCTAAAGGAGCAGGGGAAGTGGGAGGGGTAGGAGAAAGGAAAGAAGGGAAAAGAAAAAATATGAGAATAGGAAAAAAATGGAAACAAAATCTTTGCAAATAGGGACAGGTAGCGGGGGTGAAGGGAGGGAAGGGGGAAAAAAATAAGAACCAAGATACTCATGTAATGGTACAAGATCCCAATGATATATGTAAATGTATTTTATACCTAAAATGTACCAATAAACTTAATGGGAAAAAAAAAGTATCTTTTCAAGAGACAGGTGGGAAAATAGGGCTCAAAAAGTGGGAGGAGTCTGAATAAGCCAAATCGGTCTCCCAGAAAGGAGTCATTCTAGATAAAGAAGAAACCAGGCGTCTATAACATTGACCAGCTAGACCAGTAGCACACGTGCCTTCTCTGTAGGCATGCAAACTAAATCGCCCAAGCAGCCGAGCATAGGATATCCAGGTTTAATTGCAATGTTGGCACTTTGTGATAAATAAGGGGGTTTTGGTTGCAATTTGGGCGCTTGGTCTCTGACAGGTTCACCATCACTGAGCTAGACTATAAGAGCCAAGAAAATAGAATTGTGTCTGTCTGGGGCCGAGGATTTAGCTCAGTGGTTCAGGTGCCTGTCTCGCAAGTCCAAGGTCCCAAGTTCGATCCCCGGTACCAAAAAAAAAAAAAAAAGAAGATATTTAGAATTGTGTCTGTCTGGTTTATTACTGGATCTCTACTGCTACGACTATACTGCCTGAGCTATCAAAAGGCTTTACAATAAGGTTCCTCTCTATCCAAAAAACCACATATAGATTTGAGAAATAATGAGCTACCCAACTCTACTTGATTCCTCAGTTAGAGCATGATTTAACCAAATATGCACTTGTCTCCCTTTGAGTCCAGACTGACTGAAAAGCTGGTAAAGAAGCCCTAGAACTAAGACACTAAATGAAACTGAGGAGGACTTCATGGCTGTTAAATTCATCTGTTCTAAGCCCATGCCTGGATACATAAAAACTGACCTAGGCATCTGAATTAACTTCTATCTCAGTAGAAACATAGTAATGCTGCTTTAGTACCCTCTAACAAAGTATAATTCCATGAGGAGTAATATGTAAGAGTAATATGTAATATGGGAGGCTGATCTAGTTTATTCAGTCTCCTCACACTCGCTTAGTCCTATCCTCTCACTCGTCATTTGAAAAGAAACTTTTTAAAAATTCAAGTTTCATTTTGAGATAATTATAGATTCATGTGCAGTTGTAAGAAATAATATAAAGAGATCCTATGAACAACTTGCCTCTTTTCTCCATCTTACAAAGTTATAGTATAGTATCACAAATGGTGTATTAACAACTATAATTTCATGATCCCATAATTCAAATGTTCTTGAGAGCCTGTGCACTTGAAATGTACAGAGAAAGTCCCGGGCCCGGTGGAATGACTGGAAAGAGCCTACTTCAGGGAGGCAATGGCAATGTTGCTGGGTGCCACCTGCAGAAAAACTATGAGTGGCCTTGTTCCTGAGTATATGTGGACTATCTCCTAGGGACTCCCAGAATTAATCCAAGGAGAATTTGCAAGAGGCTGAGCTCCCATACAGGCAAGTAGAGATTGAAATCAAGCAACTTGGACTATTTATTTATGTTT